ATCGAAATAAAACAAATACAGTCAAAATAAAAACAAAACATTAATAATAGATTTTATAAAAGAGAAAGCAGCATGGAGCATTTTTTCTTATGATCCACCGGGGGCTCATAAGGACGCTCGAGGAGTTAACTAAAAATAACAGTGTACGTGTGTGTTTAAAAAAGAAGTGAAGGAAAGGGTGTGAGAAAAGGTCTGGGTACCACATTATATCAATGAAGTTTTGTATCATTGAAGTAGTTTTTGACTGCACGGTTGGTGCGGTGGCTGGGCAACCGGCTGCCGTGCAACGTGTCGCGGGTTCGATTCCCGCACGGGACAACACTTTGTGTGATCCACAAATTGTTGTTTCGGGTCTGGGTGTCTTTGTGTATGTGAACTTGTATGTTTGTAAACGCACCCACGACACAGGAGAAAATCCTAGAGTGGGGCAACGTTTAAAAAAAAAAACAAAAAAAAGTTTCGAATCATAGAGGGACTCTTCTTCGTGAGTAGCATGCGATGCTGCGGCGACGTCGCGCAGTCACTACAGTACCCAGTTAGGGCTCGTACACAAAACTGCGATACGTCGTCTTATCGCAAACAAGTGCGAGCTCCCTCTACGACTCGCAAGAGCGAATTGATTCGCATCGCGCATTAAAATCTTATCTTCCCAAAATCTTCTTTGTTTCTTTTTCCTTTATCTCCTAAGCAATAACAGACGTGCACAGTTTTTACGATCCTTGTCACGACCTAGTTTTCAATTTAAAATACGTTTAGTACGGTTGACGGTCGTCGATGGAATGGTCACCCTAGGAGACGCCTTGTCGCACGAAATCGCATCGAAGCAATTCGCATCGTAATTTTTTGCGTTGCAAATTTGCATCGCATCGCATCGCAGTTTTTTTATGGCATAAGCCGGTAAACGAGCAGACCGATCACCTGATGGTAAGCAATCGGCGTCGCTCATGGACACCTGGAACACCAGAGGCGTTACAAGTGCGTTACCGGCCTTTTGGGGATTAGGAGTTTGAGGATCGTTGGGGATTCATGAATTGGGGAGATTGGGGAAGGGGAGGGTAATTGGGCCTCCAGTAACCTCACTCACACGACGAAACACAACGCAAGCGTTGCTTCACGTCGGTTTTCTGTGAGGCTGTGGTATCACTACGGTCGAGCCGGCCCATTCGTGCCGAAGAATGGCTCTCCCACACTTAAAGCGGAGACTGGCAGAGAGAGCAATAAAAACTTTACGGAAAATTATAGATCGGTGCGTGAAACATGAATCCTTTGTACCTACTACTTGTAATTACAAAAAATGCTAAAAACTAAATTATGGCATCGCTACCTGTTAGTATGTATCCGCCTTGATTATAACAAGCATCGCCTTTCAGAAGAAACATACAAGAGACAATCAATCGTAAAAACAGAGAATCATTCACCACCTATATATTTGTTTATTTAATCCTTTTATATAATATATATTTGATGGGCCGATGTTTGACCTCAATCTCGCCTGGTGGTAACCGATGATGCGGTCTATGATGGAGCACGTCGTCCCATAACCAACCTATTCACTCGGTCCTTGAAGACACCCAGCTTATCGACTTCAGGAAATACAGACTCTAGCAGTACGCACAAGGAAGCTTGATGCGAAGCGGTTTGTGCGGGCGGAACATCTACCATGACTTGGTGACGCTTCGCCGATTGTCTTGCAGTACGATGATGGAAAGGACTAGGGAGAATCAAGTTGTGCAATTTTCCCGCACACTCACCGAAATGTATCCGGTATATGTAACCTATTTTTAATAATGACATAAATAGGTATTTTTTCTTAATAATCTATGCAACCACCGCCATTTTGAATTACTTCCCACCAATTGAATTTTTCAATAAAGGAGTGATCAAATGACATCTTGACCAACTTATTGAATTTCAAATCGTAAATATAAGGTGTTAAGGTTGGAATTCAATTAGGAGGTTATAATAGAAATGGCTAGGTATATTTATTTGACGTGTGGAAAGAAAGATTGTCTGTTTGTTTGTTGATAATTTATAAAGTTGAAACTAGCTGCTTTGGTGATCATATTTTATAATGATAATAAAGTTGAAGCCTGAATTCAAAGATCTGTTATTTTTATTGTTTGTGTTAGGAGTAAATAGGTAATTTACTAGATTACAGCAACCTGAGTACTCACAAAGTAGTGTCTCAAAGTAAAGTTTAAAAAAAGTTTATTCAGTAAAGAGGTATGTATGAATCGTAGCAATTGGCGTTCAAAAGTCTCTGATTACCTCCATAGGAGACAGGCAGGTTATGTATGTATGCCCCACGGTGGGCGCCAATAAGTATTTCTTTGCTTATTGATTTTAGCTATAAGTTTATAAAGTATTAAACTAGTAGAGAATAATGAAAATGGTTCGTACGTTTTCTAGAGTCATTAAAGTAAAAGTCAAAATTATTAAAGTATACATTTATAACAAACTTATGGAACATTATAATACCTACAGCTGATAAGTAGTGAAAATACCGTAAATATATCATATCCTGTCAAAAAGGTTTTATTAATACTTTCAAGGAAGTAAGATAAGATGATCTGGAACGAGAACAAATAACATGCTTAACCTCTAAATCCCATAAACCATAGTTACCCGTAACATAAATAACCGGTAACTTCCTCCCATACCTAAGAAAAATAAAACATAATTTATTTCAATTAAACGACAGGCGAAACCGCAGGACTCACTTGTATGTATATCACATTACAGCCAATTAAGAACCCACCTTCCTTATTATATAATAAGGTGTAAATTAGCTTAACAACCTTGTCTAGGTATATAATATTACATATCACATTACCACTAATTTGAAACATACCTTCAGTACTACAAAATAAGGTGCATTTTAGTTTGATTGTGTAATGGAACTTTGGAACGTCAAATCGAAACTAAGTGGATTATAAACAGTTTGCGCGCGCAACTGCGATGTTGTGTTTTAATGGCGGATGGCGCTTTCTAGTTGACAATATTCGTTTGTGGAACAGGTATTTTGGAATAGTTATTTGTAACAGGTATTTGTGATATTTTAAATAGTAAATTACTGGGTTTTAAAAATCTCAGTAGTAGCACGAAGTCTGGAAATGTGCCCGGTATATGGCAATAGGCTCACCCCCTATTAAATGGGACTCACAACATAAATAGTGAAAAGTGGGTGTTACTTCTATGTGCACCTCTGCCTACCCCTTCGGGGATAAAAGGCGTGATGTTATGTTATGTTATTACACATACCTAATAACCCAATGGTAATTGTTAAAAAATAATTAATGTTATGTTAGTCATTATCTAATCAGGACATGAAATGTTTACAACAACACTTAGCACATTTATTAATATCATCATCATTAAAGACATAACACACAAGAGATTGACATTACTGATGCCACCCAACATGGGACCTTTTGGTTGAGGGCGCCCAACATGGGACTTAACCTTTTACAATCAAAAGTAAACTAAAAGTAAATAAATTGGAACTCATAAGCTTAATAATAATAATTAAACATAAACTCATAATTAGACATATTACACAATAAATGGGACGACAAACAAGTTGAATTTTGTTAAAGCCCACCATGGGACAATCAATTTAATACTCTTTATTTTAAAAATCTATGTTGTGACTGGTTTTCCCTATTTATAACATGAATCTTATATAACGAAAATAATAATAACGTGATATCTGTTACGTGAAAAGGAACAAATATTTTAGCAACTAATAGAATCGAAGTCGACCTCAATAAGCGCTTAGTAGTCGCTGTGCAGGAAGAGAGCGACTTAACATATTTTTTACTCGACAAAATTCTGTATTTTAAACTAAATATTAACTGATATTGAATATTTTATACAACTTTTCTACTTGGATAATATTTTTGAGAGAAAACTCTATTGCTAAAGTGAAATTTTGTACAATTTGTTAAATAAACATTTCATATCAAATGTAATTCGTGAATTAATGTGTTATTGAGTTCGATATAGTGGGTTTCAGTTCATCTTAATACGTATATAACAATATACAGGTAAATATTGCTTAATTTCGATCATTTTAGTAGAAATGTCGCGAATAATCGGGAATAGATTAATAAAAATCGAATAAAATCAGCTGTAGTTACCGCGGAAGTCGTAAAAACCTTTTTAGGTCAATTCTGGGTTACAGGCTAACAGTTATTTTTATTTTTTTATCAATACCAGCAGCCCTGGTTTTGTGCGCGTACAGCCTGTTTTGTTTTTCGAGAAGAAATTTCGAAATATCTTGTTTTCGTCTAAGCTGTATTGAGCAAGTTTTAGGTTTCTATGATAAGTAATATTAAGAAAAAGATATAGATAGATAAAGATATTTATTCCTGTAAAATATGAGTACAGATTATAAATAGGTCATTTAAAAATTAAAGAACTACATGCTGTGTCAATTTTAGTTTGCAGTTTCAGCTGTGCATTGTCTGTCAGTCACCAATGAAGAGAGGGAATCATTTTAGTTAATGATGAAACTTTTCCTTAGAATATCGGAATTGAAACCTATCCTATTCTATGTATTTATTTACAGAATGATCTATATTTAGTTATATTGACGAATTTATGTCAAAAGTTGGCTAAATGTACCAAATTAATACATTTTCATGTACCAAAGTAAGCAATTAAGCAAAGCTATTTATAAAGACTTTGTACACAAAGTTGAGACCCAAGATTACAAGATTCGGCGCGTCGCGTTCCGCGCGTGCCTCAAAGAGCCATCAGACCACCATGGATGGGGCCCAACAGGGCTGATGCCGATTCGAAGTCGCGGGGAACCTAACGGGTTACCAGGCTCGACGTGCAGGAGAAGGAACGGGGTGGTTTTTAGTCAGTAAGAGTCTGACACTCCCTCCCACCTCATCCAGGCGGGAGCAGTCATTCGATGATTTTCCCCCCTTTAAAAAAAAAGATTACTATGTTAAAAATCGCCAGTTAATCAAGCCAGGACTGCATTTCAGAAAATGGCGCCGGTAAAGTTCGGTCTGTTCAAGGCTCGGAGCAGGGACTATCAGGAGCAGCCCTCCACTGAGAACCTACTGCACACCAGTCATAGCAGCGACCATTGTAAGTATACGTAAAGACAGACCTCAATTAAATGTTATGTATTCGGGGACCAGCGACTTCCCCCGCGTTCCCAGGGGTAAAAAGTAGCCTGTGTGTTTCTCCAGACTTCAGACCATCATCTACCTCTGTTCTAAATTTCATCCCGGTCCTATTATCCCCGTAAATATATAGATCCAGCCTGTCCCGACTCGCTCGACCCGATTCTCCAACCAGGGTAGGTGTTCATTCCTGGCGAGTTGCTTACTAACAGCTGTAGGTACCAAACATTTTGGATTTCTATTTGCTGTTTATTCGCGCATAAACTCCAGGGGTGTATGACTCATCGCGTCAGACAATGTTGTTTTTATCGTTGATAGTCCTTCCATGCGCATCGCTACTAAAGGAATCGGACTGTACACAGTCCCGTAGCAACAAAGCTTACGTCCCGCCTGATGGTAAACCAACATCTTAGCCTAATTAACATAACATAACATCCGCCTTTTATCCCCGAAGAGGTAGGCAAAGGTAACACCCACTTTTCACTATTTATGTTATGAGTCCCATGTAATAGGGGGTGAGCCTATTGCCATATACCGGGCACAATTCCAGCCTCCGTGCTACTCCTAGATTTTTTTTTAAAACTCATTAGTACTTTGCCCGTCCCGGGAATCGAACCCGAGACCCCTTGCCCGGCAGTCGCACTTGCAACCACTCGGGCAATAAGGCAGTCATTAATTACTTAGCCTAAATAGTACTAGATACATCAGGTCATAGGGAAGGCTAGGAAGCTGATTAATTCCGCCATCATTTTCGAAAGCAAATAAACAATCTCTTACGAGCTGACCCGGCAAACTTCATACCGCCTCACTTTACAAACCTTCCCAGGACTTCCACGAACATTTTAAGACCAAAATTAGCCAAATCGGTTCAGCCGTTCTCGAGTTTTAGCGAGACTAACGAACAGAAATAAATTTTCATTTATTCTCTTATAGTGGGTACTCCATCTTCCCCTATACCTTCAACCAGCAAGGGTATGCTGGAAGACACGGCATCAGCAGACCTATCCGTGCTGAATATTGACAGCGAGGATGATGTAAGTCATTTACATTTAATGAGAAACGTGGTTAAACGATGAGACATATCATTTGATGGGAGGACAAATGAGCAACCCTATCAACTGATGGTAAGCAACCAGTGCCGCCCATGGACATTCGCAATACTAGATGATGAGAGGAGTCACAACTTACAAATGCTTTCAAATTCTCCTGGACCAACCCTCTTTCAGAGGCCTTTGAGGAAAAACTTTGTACATTTTCTTCCAGGACATTCTCGGTGTAAGTCTTTTTTTAAATCGTTGCCCCTCTCAAGGGTTTTCTCCTGTGTCGTGTCACAATCACACAATGAGTTGAACCCGCTACACGTTACGTGGTTGCCCAGCCACCGCGCCAACTGTCAATATGAGCACCGAGAATGTTATGTACATATCTACATGTCATTCATTACAATTAATTATATTGTGTTTTTGTAATTCCAGGACACAATATCTCAACAGAACATAGTAACTCGACGCGTCAGTGATACCAGCAAGATAGAAGAGTCGCAGGTAAGTGGAAGTACCTAGGTATAATAATCCTATATCTTTTAAAGAAAAAGCAGTGCCTTCTGTCTTACTGTACACTCACTCTAAGGAGGAGAAATTTCAGTCTCTTTTCTTGGCACCAAAAAGAGATTCGATACCATTCCGAACTTATTTGTTGTCGAAAATTTCGAAATTAAGTAGCTATTAGATGCTTACTTCTTCAGAAGACTTAAAAGACCGCTAACACTTCTCTTGTCCGCAGATAAACTACCAGCCCCTTAAAAACCAAGCATCAGCAGACGCTACATCCATGTCTACCCTGAACTCCGACCAAGAAGACCATGAGACCACGTTAGTAGACGATGGAGATGGCGCGTCTACTTCCTGCGATGTCCTCTCCTTACAATTTGATGAGACGTCGATAGCTGCCAGCGAAGACTTGTCGGTCTATTGCGGGACTCTGAAGAAGACCAAGAAGATCAGAAGTAAGGAAGAGAAGCAGTTACGAGACTTGGATATGTGGCAAGCTAGTAATGTGGAGGTTATGCAGGTTAGTAAAATAAAATTACACAAATACAAATGGACGATTCTGTCCGTATATGCAGATGAAATAATTAAGTTACATACACTGCTCGTTGAATGAGCAGGCTATAATAAGAAAAGATAATAGTAATAAGTAATATACTTTAACTCTGATGCTTCTTCTCATCACACACCAGTAAGTATAGTTATTATCAAAGTTTAAGTAAAACACTTTCTTCACCAGAACCTCCTAAGCAGAAGTGGCACATTGGATGACCAAATAAAATGGGAGGCCATAGCTACAGCTAGAGGTCTTTGCACTCTGAAAGACAGCTGCACATGTGACGATTGTGTGAGGGCGAAATACCTCGCAGGAGTCACTGATGGCGACGGAGGCCTGGGCGCCGCGCCCCTCTTCAACGCCATAAGCGTCGGCTGCATTGTCCAGTAAAGGATCAAAGGATAAAAGGACTGGGTGTCAGTTTTGACATGTGTTATGTGTCATCTGTCATTGGAAAATTGGCGGCAATGTGTTTTGTTTTTTATTGGTGGTAATTTCGCAGTGTATTTTGTTGGGTATTGTTGTTGGTTTTTTGAACTCTGCAGTGTTGTGGTTACGATTTTAGTTTTTACATACTAAACATCTTTGTAACCTATGAGCTGTCTCAAGTTTTAATCCTAATGACTATTAATAGGTAGGTACCTATATATTAAATCACAGAACCGATTTTATACTTATGTTACAGCCTTCAGCGTATTTTCTGATCTTTTCATCCTAAGAAGCACTGCAGAGTTAAAAAAACAATTAAGTAATTATACGGCTGGGCTATGCAATGTGTGTATTACATAATTACAATATAAACTACTTAATAGACTTTAGTGCATAAAATTAGCCTTATTTTAAACCCTGCATTATCACTAATTATTGTATTCTATATACAATACATTGTGTTGTTTTTAAACACACGAGTTTCACTGTTGTATCTTAAAATGAATGAAAAATAGAGCTGAATCTTGCCAGATATATGACGTAATGAATGCAAGAAACAGCTCTTTTTCATTGTAAGATACAAACACCACTTTTACATAATTTGTGTGTGTAATATATTATTCCCACGGTAACCAATTTATTACTAGTATGAAATATATTAAACAAAGAAAGGAGCTGATTCTTTTGCATGTCAGCTATCAGATATTTCTACTATTTTGTCATTTTCTTTAGACACAGACCAAAAGTTCACATAACTTCCCAGTATCTTTCATTCCGAGACCGAAATTTTAAACTAAACGACTAAAAATAATTATGCTTGCTATTCTGTTTAGTTGACGAATAAAAGAATGAGCTCCTAATCATTTTATTAGTCTGACATAAATATTGAAGGCGCGCCTTCTATGTAGCTTGTGATAAATGTCTAGTCAATTTAGATAAGTGTAATATTTACGTATTACCCCGTATTGTAATTCGTAATAATATCATGTTCGGAAAAATTCAATACACCTTTTCTATACAATAAAATATGTATTCCTATTAAACTTTATACTGTACCTTTTACATTTGAATAAAAATTTACTTTTTTGTCAATTTTGTACTATTATCAGTAATAGTTGTTGAACCTATACTAGGGGTACAGTACAAACCTTTGATTTAAAAGCCTTAGTTTGAATTGTTTAAATAATGTTTTCTCTGAGTATAAAATTCTGGACTGCCACAATTTAAATATAATTTTTAATTCAACATTTTCATATTTTTTGATTAGATTTACATTCATGTGAATCTTTCTCAATTACCTACCTTTCTGTTTGTGTAATAAAATGTATATTAATGGCAGAAATAAGAAAATTAAGTTAACTTATGGCTTTATAACTTTTCTGGTTCAAAATATAGAAAATGTTCTCTAAACCATGACTACTGAATATTATAACTCAGTGGTAGTTCTATTTGTGTGTTCTCTCGTGTAATTTTGTCGTTGCAGGCTGCAAATTAGTTAGTAAGTGTATTTTCTATAAAATAGTAACGAGTTAAGGATTGGTACATTTTCAGAGTTGGCTGTATTCAAGGGACTAATATGGATGAAAATTGAGTTTCCAGTTAGTATACGTCTGCTTATCCCTTTGGAGATTAAAAGGCGTAACGATTTGTTATGTAATGAATTTTCCCAAGTATGATATTGTATAGTATTAATTATATAATTAGTATCACGTGAATTATTCTCAATCTGCAAGCGATTTGACAAGATGGCCTCTGTGTAATTCCGTGTAAGACTGAAACGTTTTCTCTATTGTATATTTATATAGGAATGGGGGAGGTATGGGAGTGAAAAATACATATATAAATGTGAAACCACTGTTTATTGATACTATACTGTGGGAGCTATGTATATCTGTTTGTAATTTTGTATCTTGAGAAATTTGGGCCATTTTTGACTGCATTGTATTTACTCTTTTATAATAGCATTTGCACTGTGATGTGCCCTAAATACATTTGTGTGGTTAGAACATATTTTAGTTTCTTAAGTGTCTCTTTTCTTCCATCGTCATGTAAAAACGAAAACCACTGTTTTACAAATGACATGTAGGTAAATGCTATTATAAAGGTGTAGAATTTGTCTAAACATTACATTCCTGCTGGCGGGAATATTGTCTACTACTAGTTTTTTCTCAGTACTGTCTCGAACTATACAAGACTCACCTACAGGCTAGGTTTCTTAGTATAAATGTGTAGTTAGATCAAGTGTATTTAGTATTTAATATTGTAGTTTTTTCATGGATGTTTAGAAACACAGTGGTACAGAATATACGGTATTATAATTGAAAGATTGAGCTCTTTATTGATACAGAATATAACACTTTTTGGCGCACTATGAAAGAGGTGATTCCACATTCTATTCTTATGAAAAGTACTGGTGTGAGTTTTGAAAAATGTTCAAAAAATAAAACATAACACAATATATTTATAGCATTAGCAGCACGTTAATGCAAGAAAATTAAAAATACTAAATTAAAAAAGGCACCCTCGTTTGCCTCAAATATAAACAACACAAACCACAAAATTTATTCGGAACATTAATGTCAAAAAATGAAAAAAAAAATGTATTTTTGCAACTAATTTTTAGTCAAATATTATTATCTACTATGTGTATTACTGGATAGAATGTGTAAATTATTGTATTGTTTAAACAAGGAGCGGTTTTGAGGAGTTAATTTTGAAAATGGACTCTGAAAACACTATTGAATTTCAATATTGAACTTTAAAAATATGTCTTTATAGAAATTGAATTTTTTCTGCAATATTGGACATAGAATGTTTAGTTTTATAATTCTCACTGAATATATTGTATGGTATTATAATATACAGGTAGATATACGTATTAGCATAGTATTTATATACCTTATTAGGTATACTTTCGTACTGTGTGTGTTTTAAAATGATTTGGCTCGATAATTGATGTTTTATATTTCCTATTAACTATTTAAAGAAAAAAAAACAGTCATTTATTAATTAAGCTGCTAAAACTATAATTTCTGTTGAGCTGATTCTCTTAAAATAATCAGCTCCTTACTTTATTCAGCTATTTTCAAAATTTTGAATAAAACATTGAATAAAATGTGTTCAATACAATTAATTATTAATTCTATCGAGCCATATCACATTTTGTATTACGTGTGTACTTATGACATGACTTACAAGCCTTTTAGTATGGTTCCTATACAATTTCTTACTGTCAATGAAAACTTTTCCATTACTATAGTTGTGTTAGCAAAATTGTGTGAAAAAAGTGAATACATACTTCATAAACTAGTATAAAGTTATATATTGTTGAAAAACTACACGATATTTATATTATTGTTCCTAATTCTAAAACAGACTGTCTATCTGCACTATATTTATAAAATTATTCATTAATTTCTTACTTAGGTACTTCTTCAACTCTTTAAACTGCGTTTAGTCTGTGCAGTAGTTACCCGTATCCTTATTGTTTTTTTTTTTTAATTCTACTTTTAATTAATACGGGGTTTTTATCCATGAGGATACGCCAACCCCATCGATCCTTATTGTTTTTAATTTCAATTATTTTATTAAACCCACTACTTATTGAATAGTATTACAGGATTTAGTAGAGCAGACATTGTAAAATAATTGATGTGTAAAACTGTAGGAAAATTTAATAAAAATTGTTTTCCCAATCATACTGACACGTATACCTTAGCAGAAATAAAAAAAATATATGTACCTATTGTTGTATGTAATATTATGATCTACTTACCTATTTGTTCGCATAAAACATTTACATAATTGTGTTGTAATATAATTGTGCTGTCAGAATAAAATATTGTTTTATTTCAGTTAATATTTCCTTTATTCCATTAAACATGTCCAAAGCAAAAGCAATTTCAAATTTTAAAAGTTACAGCTCCTTGCCCGTTTGGCGCTTTCAGAGCTGTCATTCCTTTACACGTAAGAAATATATAGTCACAAAATAATGTGGAAGGCTCGCCAATTATGTTTATGAAATGATTTCAAGTGAATTACAATATGAAAATGTAATAAAACTTAGTAGTCACCTAAAAATATATTAGATATTTAAAAAAACCTAATATAATTCAACAATAAAATAAATATCAGCGTTCTATTACAAGCAGCATGTTGAATTGTGTTCCAGATTCATCACTTTTGTGGTACACACCCGAGCTCTTCACATCCGTACGATATATATCTTGCTATCTCTGTCTATCAACAATTTATGCTTCAAATCACAACTATATTTACAGTTACCAAAGAAACCACAGATAACAAAACAATCAGTTTCGTTGGTGATCAACAAAAACTGCGCGGTGCCGAAACTGTAAATAAAACAATACAAAAACGTGAAATTTAGTGTTAAATTGAAAAATGAGTGGTCCTAACGGGATGCTGTATGGTGGCGATGAAATAGGCGCGTTGGTTTTCGATCCTGGGCATCATTCCTTGCGCGTTGGTTATGCTCAGGAAGATACGCCTAAAGCCGATATTCCGGCTGTGGTTGGCGTTGGACCGGCCACCCATATCCCTGAACCTGAGGAGAAGGTCCCTGATGGCAATGTCACGCAAAGCGGTAAGGTTATATACTATTTTTTTTTAACTGACGAGCTGTTTTTGTTGCCGCTTTCTCTCCCAACATTCGTTGTTAATAGCTTTCTAAGCTTGTATTATCTATGTTTATATCTGTTTGTTTATTATTCTAGTATAAAAAAATATTTAGTCGATATTCCTGTAACTCGGAAGCATTTGTTTATTGTCAAAATTAAGTTGCTACAACAAAACAAGCAAAAATTTAGCATTAGAATAGTACTATTGGTACTTTTCGAACCTTATCTAGGCATTTCAAAGTCAAAATCATTTACATATTTCAATTAGACCAGAAAGGCACGTTTAAACTGTCAAACACCGCGAGGACACCGATGACCGCAACCTTTTGTTCGTTGTGTCTATAATGACTGTACTCAAAGAGTTAAACAAAAAAATTAAAACTGAAGCTATTTGCTGTTCCAAGGTGTAGATTCCTATGGAGAAGAACGAGCAAGAAACTCCATAGGTTACTCTTTTTCAATCAGGTTCACAATACAATACCTAAGCGTTCCGCTGGACCTGATGGTATTCCGGCCTTTATTTTTAGAGATTGCAGTGCAGTATTGGTGGATCCGTTGTTGCATTTATACAACGTGTTTATTCGAACAGCAACGTTTCCCGATCGTTGGAAACTCACTCGGGTAGTGCCTGTGCCGAAAGGCAGTGGTGGCACTGAAGCTTGTGACTATAGACCTGTGGCAGTATTGTGCACTCCAGCTAAAGTGTTTGAGTCGGCCATTCACAGCAGCCTGTATTCACAGGTGGGTCCTTTGCTGTCGGACGCACAACATGGCTTTCGTCCTGGGCGGGGAACGACTGGGAACTTGCTGGATCTTATGACACACGTTGTACCGGCGGTGGATGCTGGACAACAGGTGGACGTAGCCTACTTTGATTTTCGGAAAGCCTTCGATACCGTAGATAATGATATCCTTCTGTCAAAGCTGGCCAGTGTAGGCTGCACACCGCACACACTGACATTCTTCTCAAATTACTTGAGAGACCGATGTCAGTACGTCGACTGTGGCGGAAGCCTTTCTGAGCCCTACTTTACTAGGTCAGGGGTAAGCCAGGGAAGTAATTTAGGGCCCCTACTTTTCATTTTAACTATAAATGATTTGCCGAGCGTAGTTAATAATTCCACACCGTTATTATTTGCTGACGACCTAAAATTAATTTTACAAATAAAACAAACAGAGGATCATTACATTCTACAACAGGATATAGCTAAAATTGAGGAATGGAGTATAGAAAACCGTTTATTTTTCAACGCTGCCAAATGTTCCGTGTTATCGTTTAGCCGAGCTCATAACCCGAGTCATCACCAATACTGCATGGGCGGAAGGCCACTGCAGAGGGTATTTGAGGTCAGGGACTTGGGTGTACGCTTTACTACTGATTTGAATTTTAGGACTCATATTACTTACTACTTAAATTTATTTCTACTATTTTATTTGTTACTTTGAGCTCTCATATAGTATGAACATAGTTTTCCACAAAATTAATGATTACCTCAAACACTTTAGATATTATTTTAATAGGAAGCGAGAACTTTCTATCACAGATGTGAAGAAATACTCAAACAATCTTCTCAAACAACTGTGATTGTACTGGAATAAATAATTATAATCATAGTCACTTCATAATCTTTTCCTAACTGAATTTTTCACTGCTGACTCACTCTTAAATTGGTTTTGCTGAATATCAGTATTTTACATGAAAAGACAGCTAGCAAATTAAAACCTTTTTACTATTAACGAATGTGTGTGAGTTAACATCATGTTAACATACATGCAGTATGTTTGTTACTCAATTATGGTAAAACAACTGAAGGGATGGGGTTCAAAATTGGAACAGGGGTCGATTATTATTTATTTACTTATATAAAACCTTACCTAAACTATCATGACAGGTTTCTCCATTGCGATAGCTAGGCCTTAAACTAAATCTATGTAACATCCAAATATAACGAAATCATAAAGTAAAAAACAAATATGAACAAAATCTTAGCTAAACTTAACTCAATAATCGAAAATACTAAAATACAAATGAAAAAGAAATTTTACAAAACAAAGAAAATAAAAACAAGCAAATAGTTTAGAATAACACATAGGCCACTCTTTATCCCACAGGAGTGTGCGCAAAGCTAGTATTTTTTATAATTTCCGATGATATTCTTTGCAGGAACAAAGGCGGGTGGTGATCTCCGCCACTATATAGATGTGACGGAGCTGCATGTGCCCCGTGCGGGCATGGAGGTCAACACCTATATGAAAGACGGACAGGTCGATAATTGGGACCTCTTTGAGAAGATGCTTGATTATTGTTACGCTAAGGTATGTAAGGACATTGCGCTTTTCCTCAAATTATTTGTGTACTTATGCATAAAAATGTACCTAGGAAGCATGCATGGCTTCAAACTAGTCTCTGGCTCAGTTACTCTGTAGTTATAAACATTGAACAGTTAAAATTTGTATGGGAATCCTTATTGTATTAATATACTAGCTGTGCCCGCGACTTCATCCGCGTGGAATAGTGATTCACAGTTCCTACCCCATAAATAATAGCGTGATATATAATCACGCTATAATTATATTGAACCGACAATAGCCTATAATTATATTGAACCGACCTGTTAGTAATATTCATGCAAAATTTAAAGTAAATCCAATCAGTACTTTTCGAGTTTAACCCGGACAATCCGGACATACATACAGACAAACAGACAAAATTCTAGAAACCATATTTTTGGCTTCGATATCGATTGTAGATGACGCCTTAAGCGTTCTTTTAAAAAAATATTCAATGTACATACACTTTTGACTTTTCTACGATTTTATTATATAATGTATAGATAGGTATTTACAAGTCTCAGCTGAACATAGGCCTCTCTCTGTTGTATAAAATTTAGGAAATAAAAATGCCTCCATTATAATTATCCTTATATGATTTAAATTTGATAAACTGGACGCCTATGAAAAGGATTGGCCATAGAAAGCTATAAGCAGAGACGAGGTAGAGGTAGGATGGCCTAAAGTGGGACGACCATGGCTAAAAATCACTACATACATAGTATAAAACAAAGTCTCTATCCGCCGTCTGTCTGTCCCTACGTATGCTTAGATCTTTGAAACTACGTAACGTTTTATGATGCGTGTTTTTTAATAGATAGAATGATTCTTAAGGAAGATTTATATGTATAATACATGCATATTGCACCCGTGCGAAGCCGGGGAGGGTCACTAGTAAATAATCTAAAAAGTAAACACAAAAATCCAATAAGACAGTCAACTGTAAAAGTAAGTGACTGCCTCGTTGGCCGAGTAGCCGCAAGAGCGACTGCCGGGCAAGGGGTCTCGCGTTACGATTCCGGGGTCGGGCAACTAGTAATACTGGATTTAAAGAAAATCTCAGCACGGAGTCTGGAATTGTGTCCGGTATATGACAATAGGCTCACCCCCTATTACATGGGACTTATAACATAAATAGTAAAAAGTGGGTGTTACATAGTACAGTGGCATTAAGTGTCGCAATGTGGACCTCTGCCTACCCCTTCGGGATAAAAGGCCCTTCAAGTGTATGTGTATAAAAAAAATCCTTATATATATATTATAAATCAGAAAGTGAGTTTGTTTGTTTGTTTGTTCCGCTTTCACGACGTAACTAATGACCCGATTGCTTTGAAATTTTGCAGAGGTAAAGTTAGAAGTCTGGATTAAATAATAGGGTACTTTTTATCCCGGAAAAATTTGATATTTCCGAGGGAAAACAAAAGTATTGGTATAGATGGCGCTGTGTGTATTGGTATATGTCACATAGGCTACTTTTTATCCTTTTGTGACGCGAGCGAAGCCGCGGGTAAAAGCTGGTTCTTAATATTCCATCATCGTTCATCACCAGGTTATCCGTTCCCCTTCCGAACACCACCCAGCTCTATTCACCGAAGCTGTCTGGACGACGCGGCCAGCTCGAGAGAAGCTAGCAGAACTCCTTTTCGAGAAGTACCAGGCGCCTGCATTCTTCCTGGTGAAGAGTGCAGTACTGGCTGCATTTGCCAACGGGAAGAGCACGGCTTTGGTCGTCGATGCTGGAGCCAGTCAGACTTCTGCCGTGCCTGTTATTGATGGGTAAGTTGGTATTATGATATTTAGAATATTGTTTAGAATTTGACTTTTGACTGCCTCGTTGGCCGAGTGGTCGCAAGTGCGACTGCCAGACAAGGGGTCTCGGGTTCAATTCCTGGGTCGGGCAAAGTATTACTGGGTTTTAAAAATATTCTCAGTAGTAGCACGGAGTCTAGAATTGTGCCCGGTATATGGCAATAGGCTCACCCCCTATTATATGGGACTCATAAGATAAATAGTGAAAAGTGGGTGTTACATTGTACAGACTACAGTGGCATAATGTGCACTTCTGCCTACCCCTCCGGGGATAAAAGGCGTGATGTTATGTTTAGAAGTATTCTAGTTTATAAAATAAGCCGGTAAACGAGCAGACGGATTACCTAATGGTAAGCAATCGGCGTCGCCCATGAACACATCAAACACCAGAAGCGTTACAAGTGCGCTACCAACCTCTAGGGGATTAGGAATTTGAGGATTGTTGGGGATTTGGGGAATGGGGTGATTGGGGGAGTTGGGTAATTGGGGTTCGGTGGTTAACCTAAAAACAAAACGGAACACAACGCTGTGTGGTTGTTTCACGTCGGTTTTCTGCTCGGCTGTGATATCACTTCGGTCGAGCCGGCCCATTCGTGTCGAAGCATGGCTCTCGTGGGTAGTAGCATGGAGTCTGGAATGTACCCGGTATATGGCAATAGGCTCACTCCCTATTACATGGGACTCATAACATAAATAGTGAAAAGTGGGTGTTACATTGTACAGTGGCATTAAGTGCCGTAATGTGCACCTCTACCTACCCCATCGGGGGTAAAAAGGCGTGATGTTATGTTGTGTTAAAAAAATGTTAGCCTGTCGTTGAGTCTATATTTGCTATATTTTGGTATATTTGCTCGTTCCAAGGCGTAGATTCCTATGTAAAAGAACGAGCAAGAAACTCCATAGGTTAGGTACTTTTAGTTGAATAGGGATGATGACAGGGTATGAAAATTAAAAAAGTAATTAGTCCGTCAGTTAGGTAATGAAAAAATATTAGACACGTATTTTTTTATTTTGTCGTATAATAAAACAATACTTAGATATAACGAATCAAAGTTTAGGAGTGGGGGCTAAAATGTCATTTCTACGTATAAAATGTACATAGAAGTGACGTCACGCGACATTTCAAATCAATATATATTCGAAACTATTCGTTTCCGTAAAAAAACTAAAAATACGTGTAATATTTTTAAATAATCTACCAGACGGACATTAAAATAAAATAGTCATCTACCCTATTGTTGAATAAAAATGGTTCGTAATAATAATTATCATGTTTTTACAGATATGCGCTTGTGAACGCCGCCGTCCGGTCCCCAGTCGGAGGCGACCACCTCGCGGCGCAAGCCAAACACATGCTGTCCAACTTACATATACAGATGCTGCCCATATACAGTATACAGGTGTGTAATGTCAACAAACATTATTAAATGTAATTGGAACATAAGACATCCTTACTAATATTATAAATCGGAAAGTGAATTTGTTTGTTTGTTTGTTCCGCCTTCACGCCGTAACTACTAAACCGATTGCTTTGAATTTTTGCAGACGTAGAGTTAGAAGTTCGGATTAAATAATAGGATACTTTTTATCCCGGAAAAATTTATATTCCCGAGGGAAAACAAAAGTATTGGTATAGATGGCGCTGTGTGCATTGGTATGTCATTATGTCACAGGCTACTTTTTTCCTTTTGTGACGCAAGCGATGCCGCGGGTAAAAGCTAGTAACTTATAGCCATCAGAAAAATCAGTAGTAATACGCAGTCTGGAAATGTGCCCGGTATATGGCAATAATCTCACCGCTATTGCATGGGACTTATAACAAACTAGCTTTTACCCGCGGCTTCGTTCGCGTCACAAAAGGATAAAAAGTAGCCTATGTGATATATACCAATACACACAGCTCCATCTATACGAATACTTTTGTTTTCCTTCGAGAATATCAATTTTTCTGGGATAAAAAGTACCCTATTATTTAATCCGGACCTCGAAATTTACGTCTGCAAAAATTCAAAGCAATCGGTTTAGTAGTTACTGCGTGAAAGCGGAACAAACAAACAAACAAACTCACTTTCCGATTTATAATATAAGTAAGGATAGTGAAAAGTGAGTGTTACATTGTACAGTGGCATAATGTGCACCTCTTCCTATTCCTTCTGGAATAAAAGGCGTAATCTGATGTTATGTTGATTTTTAACATCAATCCTTACTAATATTATAAATCGGAAAGTGAGTTTGTTTGTTTGTTTGTTTTTTCCGCTTTCACTCCGTAACTACTAAACCGATTGCTTTGAATTATTGCAGACGTAAAGTTAGAAGTTCGGATTAAATAATAGGATACTTTTTATCCCGGAAAAAATTTGATATTCCCGAGGAAAAACAAAAGTATTGGTATAGATGGCGCTGTGTGTATTGGTATATGTCACATAGGCTACTTTTTATCCTTTTGTGACGCGAGCGAAGCCGCGGGTAAAAGCTAGTAACTTATAACCATCAGAAAAATCAGTAGTAATACGCAGTCTGGAAATGTGCCCGGTATATGGCAATAATCTCACCGCTGTTGCATGGGACTTATAACAAACTAGCTTTTACCCGTGGCTTCGTTCGCGTCACAAAAGGATAAAAAGTAGACTATGTGATATATACCAATACACACAGCTCCGTCTATACCAATACTTTTGTTTTCCTTCGAGAATATCAATTTTTCTGGGATAAAAAGTGCCCTATTATTTAATCCGGACTTCGAACTTTTAGTACTTCGAGGTTTAGTAGTTACAGCGTGAAAGCGGAACAAACAAACAAACAAACTCACTTTCCGATTTATAATATTAGTAAGGATAGTGAAGAGTGAGTGTTACATTGTACAGTGGCATAATGTGCACCTCTTCCTAACCCTACGGGGATAAAAGGCGTGATCTTATGTTATGTTGATTTTTAACATCAATTCCTTAATATTTCTAGAGCAAGGAAGTGATAAGAGAGCGCGAGCGTGGCCGCTACACCCTGAAGACGCTCCCGGCGGGACTGACGCACTCCTGGCAACAATACATGCTCAAACGGCAGTACGAGGACTTCTGTCACTGTGTCGCGCAGGTATATTGTACTTAGCTACAGCGATTAACCTGAAATTACAAGTTAATCACGTAATGTATATGTCGTAGGATAATTTGATACTTCGAATCTTCGCGGAAATCCTAGGGGTTTTGCGAAAACGCGGATAATTAGACATAGACGAAAAATTATGAAATCTTACTGGACAAAGTCAGGATTTTTGCGAAAATACTCGTTACTATAGTAAGATTTGATGTGCTCAACACTGATTGGCTACAATTTTGCTGGCTGACTTCTAATTGGTTCCTAGTTTGCCGATGATTAACTTCAAGTATTGTATCATAGAGTTATGAAGGTTTAGAATAGGTGAGAAAGGAAAATCACTAAATTGAATTTTATAAACTTTTTATTGAAAATTTTAGTATGTATGTTGTTTTCTACAGACAATAGGAGATCTCAGTCGTAGTAAAAAAAATGATCCAATTTTAGGGTGTAATCCATAAATTGGATGAAACTGGTCGTTAAAGACGACGAAAAAACATTTAAGACGTCAACCAATCAGAGACGATCTCTTATGGAACGCGCTGACCGACCAATCAGCGTTCTTATTTCATAACAGCCAGCGTTTCGTTTCGCAATCTTACTATAGTAACGAGTATTTTCGCAAAAATCCTGACTTTGTCCAGTAAGATTTCATAATTTTTCGTCTATGTCTAATTATCCGCGTTTTCGCAAAACCCCTAGGATTTCCGCGAAGATTCGAAGTATCAAATTATCCTACGACATATATAATGTATTTGTATAATGCGTCAAGCGTGTCTTTGCATTGTTCTCACATATATGCGTACTGAAATATGTATCAGAGCCATTGAAATATGTATCAGAGCCATTGAAATATGTATCAGAGCCATTGAAATATGTATCATAGCCATTGAAATATGTATCAGAGCCATTGAAATATGTATCAGAGCCATTGAAATATGTATCAGAGCCATTGAAATATGTATCAGAGCCATTGAAATATGTATCAGAGCCATTGTAGAACATACTGTTTTAAAAAGAGTAATGAATGCAGTTTCTTGCTCGTTCTTCTCCATTCGAGTATACATTTTGGAATGAGCACCCAGCTTCACCGAGCTTCACTGACGGCCTGCTGGTCGCTACCACGCCTTTGTTGATAGACTAACCCACTGCTTGATTTCCCACACTGGCGACAGATCGCAATATAAAAGTATTACTATACATAAGGAATCCTTTCTAAGCGTCGATTCGTAATTATTATAAAAAAAATATTTTCAAGTTGCCAAGTATACGTATGTAAAAAGCGACTTCAATAAACCATAAACTAATAACAAACTAAAAGAAAAAATAACTATTACTAATATATCAGTATTCATAGTTATTTTTTGAATAACCTATCAAGGTTACCCACCCAACCTATCATTGGGTTAGAAGTCGGCGTCATATACCCAATTATACCCTTTGAAACAAAACAAGAATTTTGGAAATCGGTTTACAAATCAAACAAAACAAACAAACAAACAAATATATTTATTTCCATTTTGTTCACATATACTTAATCTAAGCTTATTATAACTATTCTAGGTAGGTAAAATACAATGCCTGTATAGAATAACATGTACCACAGGCTTTGTGGTCGCGTGCATTATACATTAGGATAATATAACTAAGCCTTAACAATATTATTTTTTACAGTCACCAATATTACAAAACACAACTGGCGGAGTAATCAATGAATAAACATAAAAAAAACAGTCAGCCGAACATACTACCTCCTCCTTTTTTTGTAGAAGATGGGTTACTAATTAATCTAAACTAATATTAAAATAAAATGCATTTTCCCTTCGCAGATATCAGAGAGCCAGTACGAGGAGCGCCAAGCGGCGTCAGTCCCGTTCACCCACTACGAGTTCCCCGGCGGGTACCACCAGGACTTCGGCCCTGAACGGTTCAAGCTCACCGAGTGTCTGTTCGAACCTACGTTGGGGGCGCCGCATTTGGGTGAGTTGTACACACTGACAAGGTTTTTTCATTCTCAAAATGGTAATATGGCAAAAGTAAGCGCTGTATTGGAGAGACCTATGTCCAGCAGTGGACGAATACGGGCGGATGATGATGATGAAGTGCTGTATTTGTGTAATGTATTTATTTCGTATCTATAGAATTGCCACATTGGTAACTTGACAAACAGTTCAACATATGCATAAAATGACATCACGCCTTTTATCCCCGAAGGGGTAGGCCTAGTGTTGCCCAAATGCAAGAACAAGACGAGACTTAGCCAGTCTTGGTCTTGGTCTTGCGCCAATACACCTGGTCTTGGTCTTGGTCTTGGTCTTGCGCTCCCAGTCTTGGTCTTGGTCTTGGTCTTGCAGCAAGACTTTGCAAGTCTTGCAATTACCTATTCATTATTACTATTTATTAAAGTTTATTTAAATCTCAGAAAAACGTATTAGAATTGGAACATTGTGAGCTTGAATTAAATAGCCATAGTAAAGATCAAGCAGATTAATAAATAACTGAAGATTAAGAAATATAATGACTAAATGTACAATAATAGTACCTAAGTAATTAGTTTAAACCATATAAGTAATCAATATTATAATATATACATTACTAGAATGAATTAATATGACATCTACTACCTATCCTTACCATTTTATCCTAATCATAATACTACTTGCGTGATCAGTATAATGTATTCATTTTCATTCTAAGCACTCTGAAACTTATTTATTCTTTGGAACACCTGTAGGTACTCTTAAAATTCGAATTATTTGCATGAGTACCTAGCCCTATGGCGGCAATCAAATAGTGTCAAATGTTATGATTTCGGCGTGAGGCAACGATGTTTTAGATTTCAAAGAAGCCGCCGGCGCGTGTATAAAACCATGTACTTCCGAAAAGCGGCAAATTTCTTTGAGAAGTAAGTACCTACAAAACCTTTGATGCCGCATTATCAAAGTGCCGATGGTTAAAATATAACTATGCATGCACTCAGTTTGATTTTAATAGATATTTTTTATTCGCTATGTTTATGGTATTAGTCGTAATGCGCATAGGTCCAGTTTTTCATATTCTTTGATACAGTTTTTTGCGTCTCATAGAATTCCTAAGCGTACCTACCTATACACCGAACTGTTACACCTAACTACTCAGTGGAATAGCGCTAAGTCCTAGCTGCAAGACGCAAGAGTCTTGCAGGCTATGTCTTGTTCTTGCTCAAGTCTTGCACTTTAATGAATTACTTGTGATATTGAAAGACCATACAGAATACATAGATGTGTTGGTACTGTCCGAAGTTAATATTAAAGAAGAAGAGGTTCCATTGTACTATATACAGGGGTACAATGTAGCTACTAACACAAGAGAAAAAACTAGAGGAGGAGGATTGTTAATCTACATAAAAGATGACTTCACTTTTGTTGAAAAAACATCTCGAATCAGTTCCGCAGAAATCTTACATCTTACATTGAAAATGAATATAACTATCTTAAATATAATCGCAGTTTATAGACCACCAAGGACAAGCAAACTGCAGTTTATTTCGGAAATTGACGAGATTATAAAGAAAATACCGAGTAACGAAAGTGTTATCATTGTGGGCGACATCAATATAAACTTATTCGGGGTAAGTGACGTATGTCATGCATCGAAGTACAAGGACTGTTTGTGTGAACTAGGCCTAATGTGTGTTATACCGGACACCGAGGTAACGCGGGAGGCGATCGTCGCGGGTGTGAGAGAGACGTCATGCATCGACCACGTGTGGGTGCGAGCGACAGCAGCTGGGGGTGCGCGTCGTTTGTGATTGAGTGTTATATATCCGATCATCATATGATTGGGGTTGCATTTCCTATAGAAAATAACCCAAATGTGGACGATGCACGTTTGGCGGGTCGGAAAGTAATTAATAATAAATTAGTTTATAGGAAAATATGTGATTATAACTGGTCTCAAATGTTGGGTATCGATTGTCCGTTAGAGCTATACGATAGGATATATAATGTATTCAATAAGATTTACAGTGATAGTCAAATTGTTGTACCAAATACTAAAAAACGAACATCACAGCCATGGGTAGGAGAAGTATTGAAAAATATGTTAATGCGGAGGGATCAATTATTCAGAGAATGGAAGGTAGATCCTAATAATAATACGAAGAGATTAGAATACACGCGGTACAGAAATAGGGTTAATAAAACAATATTCAAGGAAAAAAATAAACACAAACAGGAAGAAATTAAAAAGTGCAATGGAAATCCTAAAAGAATATGGGAAAAAATTAATTGTTGGTTAGGAAAAAGAAAAACTAATATTGATAGTATAGTTACTAAGTATTTAGGAAGTAGTGATACAATGTATAATGTATGTAATAAGTTTGCAGATACATTTACTCAAGAAATTGTTAATATTAAGCATAGTTGTAACACAAAGTTCCTAGATAGATCTCATTATGTTAAACCAAGTAATGTAACATTCCGCTATATGCCAGTGGGGAGTGACACAGTATCTAAAGTCATTGACAACCTCAGCAACGAGAAGGCGCCAGGCATAGACTGTATTAGAACTATCGATCTTAAATCAATAAAAAAGCAACTATCACCTGTTTTGGCACACTTTGTCACAACATGTGTTTGACCAGGGGACAATACCCTGGCCTACAAGAAAGCCTTAATAAGACCTATATTTAAACAGGGAGTCCATACTGATTATTCCAACTATAGACCAATTGCTATCCTATCAGTAATTAATAAAATAGTAGAAAAAATTATCGTAGGTCAGGTCAGTGGGTTCCTGGAACAGCACACGTTAATTTCAGATACTCAGCACGGTTTCAGGTGCGGTCGCAGTACTGCAACAGCATTGGCAGGGTTCTCCGAATATATAAATGACAGGTTGGACCAGGGTCACCAAATTCTAGCTCTTTTTATAGATTATAAAAAGGCGTTCGATACGTTAGACCATGAGGTGCTGCTTCGGGCAATGGATGATTGTGGAATCAGGGGGCCCACTAATACTTGGTTCCGTACATACCTAAGCGAAAGAACTATTCAGACTAGTATAGCGGGTACCACAGGACAAGAAGCTGGGGTTGCTCTGGGCGTGCCGACCGGATCCGTGTTCGGGCCAGTTGGCTACATCATGCACGTGAACAGCGTTGCAAATGTAGTTAAAAAATGTCAAGTTTATATGTACGCTGATGATATGTGCTTACTATATTCCTCCAAAAACATACATGAAGCTAGAACCGTAATACAGGAGGATTTCATTAACATCACCAAATGGGCGCATGATAATGGAATTATCCTGAACGTAAACAAAACTAAAATAATACACATACATTCACCTCACAATTTAGTAGCAAAAAGAATTAATAGTTTAGATATAGGTATACAGGGTCATACATATGAATGCTTGCATGCAAATAATATTAGTTGTGTTTGTCAAAATATAGAATATGTTAAAACATTTAAATACCTGGGGCTGTGGGTGGACAGTAACGCTAACTGGCGGACGCATGTTGACACTGTGTGCACAAAGCTTAGAACAGTTTTGAGTAAGTTCTATGCACTACAAGCGCCTTTAAGTATACAAACATTACGTACAGTTTATTTTGCTCTAGTCGAATCGTTGATAGGTTACGGACTAAGTGTCTATGGACGCACTTTTAAGACTTATTTAGACAGCATTAAATCCCTACAAATCCGCTTCCTTAAGTTTCTAGTATCACCTAAAGTTAGACGTAAATGTGAAGAAAACTATGAGAGACTATACATTCCATGCAAAATACTTCCTGTTCACGACCGGGCCAGATACTTGTTGATTCTTGAGCAATTTTATAGTGAACAAAAAAAAGAAAAAGTTGCAAACAAATATAACACAAGACGTGTGAGAGAAAATAAGTTAGTCCGGCCGACGATAAACAATTATTATGGAAAAAAGAACCAACAGGTACATGGTTCCGACGTTGTACAACGATATTGATTTGTTAAGGCACATAAACAATACAATTAGTAAACAATCCTTAAAATATAAGCTAAAGACTGTGTTACTTACCGAATTTGCCAAAAATTTTAGTTAATGTTAATCTGCTTGTTAGCTGTTTATATAAATTAATGTTAGCTGTTGATATAAATTATTTCACATAATTATGTTTGTTAGTATAAGATAACACCGTTTTTGTTAAGGACAAGTTTGATCCGAGGTTTTGTTTGTTTAGTATGTAGGTATAGTAGTAAGTATAGTTAGTGTAAGGTAGTTATGAATATCGAGCGCTATTCCCGCCGTCAAACTGTCATAGCAGTTTGGTGGGTATATGTATTGTATTTTTTTTTGTATAAAACCAATAAAGAATTAATTATTATTATTATTGCACGGTCAGTCTTGGTCTTGCTAAAAATACGCGGTCTTGTTCTTGGTCTTGGTCTTGCAAAAACGCAAGAACAAGACCAAGACTGCAAGACCAAGACTGAATTTGGGCAACACTAGGTAGGCCAGGCCACCCCTACTTATGAAATAAAGATTAAATGTAGAACCTGCCGTGCCCCGCAGTGTGCGCAGCCGCCGCGGCGTGCGACGCGGACGCGCGGCCCGCGCTGTGGGGCTCCGTGGTGGCGTGCGGCGGGCTGGCGAGCACGCCGGGCTGGCTCGAGCGCCTCGCCAAGGACCTCGCCGCGCGCGCGCCCAGCTCGCATCGCCTCAAGACCACCGCCGCGCCACCCCACGGAGCGACGGTTCGCCCGCCTGGATCGGTGACCTACTATACTCACTTTATAGCATAAGCCGGGGTAAACGAGCAGACGGATCACCTGATGGGAAGCAATCGGCGTCGCCATGGACACATGGAACACAGAGGCGTTACTAGTGCCTTACCGGCCTTTTGGGAATTAGGAGGATCGTTGGGGATTCAGCAATTGAGAGATTGGGGAAGGGGAGGGTAATTGGGCCTCGGTAACCTACTCACACGACGAAACACAAGGCAAGCGTTGCTTCACGTC